TTCTTTGTATCGAATTTACATCAGAAATAAAAAAAGAGTATATATCTGAATAGAAATCTTGGAAAAATGGTTAATACAATAACAATAATGCAATTTGCGCGAATCGCTATATTCTATAAATTAAGAAAATTTTTCCGTTTCTTTATTTCAAATGTAATGCACATTTTCATTCACTACGGAACATTTAATAAAAAAATTTATTCAATTCTATTTTTATATAATTTTTTGAAATTTAGAAAATAATATGTTTTATTAACTAAATATTATATACTAGAAATGGCTTATACTGACTAAAATAGCAAATTAGTCAGACTGAATTGAGTGTCTCTGGCATTCTCGTCTGTTGACGAAGATGTTTTCAACCAGATCATCAACGCCTGTAGTGCAGATTCTCATTGAAAAGGGATAAGAATATATCTCTTTCTCTTGAAATTATATTTTATGTCTTTTTTGTTTACGATTCTTTTTGACTTTTACATTCAAACATCTTATTCGATATTATTTTAATAATCTCGTTACCTTTATTTTATTAACAAATCTTGCAATATCAAATTAAAACAATCTTAAACTTAAATTATCATTTATAAATTTATATAATTTATAATAATTAACGATATACGTTTTAAATATTTTCTAAGCAGTTTTATCTTTGCAAAATAATCTTAATTAAAGCAAGATTTTTTTAAGATGAGAGATCCACAAAGGATCCGAATTGTAATAATTTCTTCACTTATTATATAACTTACTGACGAAATAAGATACATTTTCTCTCGGTGTCTGCCAACCAGTTTTGTTGTAAAGTATAGTGCGCGGCGTCATTGAAGAGCGTTATTAAAATTACCGTAATCGACCTGTAGGCCAGGTGAACGATGCAGGTGCGACCGAGGGCAGCACTGCTACTCGTATATAGTCCATTTTGTTCTTGAAGCAAGATCTTCTTTTAATCTTTAAAATTTCATTTCTACGTAAAACTACTCATTAGTAAACATCGTGAGCGATAACGTCGCTTTATGTAATCCTTGCGTTTTAATCCGATAATTTATTGTATAGTTTATGTATTCGCGAATAGAGAAAGGAGACAGACAGAGAGAGAGAGAGAGAGAGAGAGAGAGAGAGAGAGAGAGAAAGATGAGAGAGAAGGAGAGACTCAATGCTGTACGTACAATATTTACGCGTCACATGCGTGTAAACAATTACGTCACTTGTTAATCGCATTTATCGAGAAAATCTAATATTGATGCACCTACGATTCTATCGCGCTTATCAGAGATAACTATGTGCTTTTCTTTTCTTCACATCTTTCAATTTCATTCTTCTCAAATCTAAAATAAGATATATTGTATGTCATAATCTTGCGTATTTATATCCGCGCGTTTGTATATATTTGATGTTTTAAGTTCTTTCTCTGCTAGTTTTATTTCCACGCTCTCCTCATATACTCGTGAAATTTTTGATTTCCATTATGAGCTATTGATAGTAGAAATTTTTTCATAATTTTCAATTTTATGTTTGCCCAACTATTGATCACTAAAAATACCGAGTAGGTACTTAGGTGACAGGAAGCCTAATTAAATATGTGTCTCTCCTCCTGTCTCTTAAATACTTTTTTCGCGGAAAAATTTAAATAATTTTATCTCATGTTACACGTAATGACGAAGATAACAAGGACGATCATGGCGAGGTCGATTAGTCATGAAACGCTTACTTGTTATCGCGTATACGCGTCATTGTTCTTGGTAATTCTTTTACTCGACAGCCTCGAAAATAGAGAATCATATATATATATATATATATAATTTTTATAGTTCGAAAAATCGATGATGAAGATTGAGATGACGTAATTGATCATTCAGATATACAATCAACTCGCAACAAGAATACCTTTTAATATTAACTTAACATTAAAGAAAGTTAATACTATTTTATTAAATTCTAACATAATTTTTATTATCACAGATTTTTAATTATGGTCATTCTTTGGTCATATGTAATTATATAATAGCTCTTCTTTTACAATTTAGGAAAATTAAATTTAATAAGACAGAGAAGACGATACAGAAATATGAAATATATTTCGTCGTTATGACATAAATAGTAAAAATAAAATTAAAAATAAAATATTAATAATGAACATGTATTATTAAGTATACGTTTAATATCGTCTATAATTGACAAAAGTGGTATGTATTAATGCTCGAGAATGAAGGAAGAATTTAACATTTTAAAATACAATTTTGCAAGTCAAACACTAAAAAACGTGAGGATTGATTCAGAATGTATAAATATTTATACAACATATCTCATGGGGTAGACGTAGCGTGTCTCCGGATGAGACGTCGTCGATTCAGACCGATATCTCCAAGAAATGTTATGTAAGAATCGCCTCGGACTGGCCGTGAACTTAACGGCGTCGTCGTGATCGTCGTAATCGAACGCGAACGTCTTCCTTTCCACGCATTTCACACACGTCCGATGCACTCGAGTATGCACGAAAGAATACGGATTTCCGTAATTCAACTTAATTGGCTTTTTCTATTCCAAAACTAATTATTACAAACTATTGTATATATTGTATATTGTAAATAACAATTATTAGAAGGAAAAGTAACAGTATCAATCGGTGTAATTAATGATATATTCGATAATTAAATTAAATCAATTTACTCATTAATTTAAAAATAAAATAAATATTGTAAAAGATATAGCGTAGAGATGTAGAGATGTAGAAGAATTTCATTTTTTTTCCTCATCAAATTTTCATTAAAGAAATCGATTCTTAAATGTCAAAAAATTTAAAATAAACATTTGAAATGATAGAGAAAAAATATTTGTAAATTAATTAATTGAGTTGAGATAGTTGTAATCTCTTTTTAGCTCGAAATGACAAAAAACTGCAGAAAAAATGAATAAAACAGTGAATATGTGTGAGTGAATGAGTTATATTATTGGAGAAAAAGAGAGATATGACAAAATAAGACAAATATGTTTATAGAATATTATCATTATTTTCTTCAATATTTCTTGATAAAATATTACTTGGTTTTTCATGGTCTGCTACAAAAGCTAAAGAATTACATCGGCTATGGTGTTGTTTTTAATGGAAGATTAAATCGCATATATTAGACTCTAGAAGTAGTTCTGATTGTAGACAATTTTGTAAATATCTAATTATTTTGTAAATATCTAATCAAAATCAAGTAATTGTCAAGTAATCAAAGTCAAGTAATTGTTAATATCATTAAACATCTCTTTTTCTTAACTTGCTTTGTGCGCAATATCCATAGTTTCTTTTACACTTTGCTGATGCATGATTAAATTTTATCTTTAAATAAATTTGAAAGAAATAATTATTTATCATGACAAATGTTATTGTAACAAATAAAATATTTTTATATCATTTGAACTATAAATTATGTTTTTTGATACAATTTTAATAAATATAATAATTATATATTGAAAATTTTGTTAATATGCTTTATTTTTTAATTAATATTTCTATTTTTATATTTGTTATATTTATTTTCTTATTTAACTTCTTCATTAAATTAACTATGCAATGATAATTTATTTATGAGCACAGGAAGTATTTATGAGCAGTCAGAAGCTGAACAAGAAAGATGTAAGCAAATCAATCACTTTTATGTATCTTAAAATTTAATAAAATCGACAAATCAAATATATTATAATATTAACACTATATTCGCGTGAACACACGTCCAGAAAACCAAATTCTAAAAACCAGAATAAGATAAATTCTGTGCGCAGCTTACAAGTTTCGGCCTATTGTTTATCGATTATTATTTTAAGTCGAGTGAAATCTTCGTATCGCGGAAATTCCTGAAGTAGATTATGCTTGACAAAAGACAGAGAGACGATCTATTATAGACAAGATGAGCATACGACCTGTGTTTTATCTCAGAGTCCAAGTTTCCTAAATGACCGATTTTTCAAATATTCTATATCCTTTGTGACTCTTTAGCCGTTAAAAAAATAATAATATAAATGAATTTTATCAGTGTATAAAAGATGTTTATGCCTTGGTCCTAACTCTTTTATTTTAATAATTTTTATTTTAATAATTTTAATAATTTTTCAGACACACAGGAAAGACACCTCTGTTAACCTCATCTGAATTCTATCTCCAATTTAAAATATTATATTCACATTGCGCAAATTATATATGAGTAAATCAATTTATATGAGTAAACTTACAGTACAGAATTACATATCACTATTACTGTTTTCTGAATAATATAATTTTAAAATAATCCTTGAAATCTTTTTGATGTAGATGTTTCTCTTAATCATTTTTTGCTATTTAAAAATCTATTGATTCCAGTCATATGATATATATTTGCACATAAATAAACTAGATTGACAAATAATTTAAGCAATTATTTCAAACAATTAATCTGTTTATATTAATCTAAATAATAAATAATATAATAAAAATTCAATTTCTTCACAAAGGCATGACTTTTTTAAAATATTCTATATCTGTATAATAATGTGCGATTTTGATCAAATCAAGCATTATGAAACATAAATGATAAACTAGTATACTTTTCATCGACTTGTCTGAAACGTTATTCAGATTAGAAGTTTCGTAATAATCTTTATATAACCATACGTTGTTACTCTTTGCTCGCAAAAGAATTAAAAATAGCTATATAGCTATAATAGGTTTTTGAAAATTGAATAATAAATTTCTATTGTTATTCTTTTATAAAAAATAAAATTTATTCATTTATCTTTAGTTCATATAATACATTTTATATACTGAAGTTATATAGAAATATCGAGTTAACAAACAATTAATATTTAATTGTTTGGTTAACCAATAAAAGCTATTTTGTTTCATTCTGTACAATGAAAACTTTAATCGTAGATCGGTATTATCGATAATATAAATATATTAAATGACTTAAATGTAGCAAAGTAACGTTATATTTGTGTGATACAAATAAGAGTGACGAGGAGTGATAATGTAATTTCCTTACCAAGATGAACCGCCAGGTTGTATCTCTCGAGCGCTTGACCTAGGTGACCCTTCCTCACGAGGATATCACCCTCGTGCCTCGCCCGGCTGGCCTCTACTTCTCGTGGCCACCATCTCTCCACGAGTCTTTGCACTAGTACATTCGTTTCACTCACAATAGCGATTTTTGTCCCGCACACGCGACAGATCTTCGTCGGATCCACGCAGCTCCTGCAGTACGTGTGACCGCAGCTGGTGGTCACCGGTTGGCAGAGGGTACCCTCGCACAGGGGGCACGCGAAGGATGTCTCGAGCTTCCGTCTGGAGCTCATCCCGATACCGACCATGTCCTCCAGGAGTGCGGTCGCCAGATGTTTCAGTCTCTCAGCCGGCACAGACGTCGCGGTTAAGCACCTGGAGTAGATCTCAATGGACTCCCTGACACGACCGCACTTGACCAAGGAATCGCCGTAACCGAGCAGCACGTCGTAGCTCGGCCCTTGCTGCTTCAGGCATCGCTCGTACAGCTCGACTGCCAGATGATAATTGCGGGAGGTGAACGCCTCCTTGGCAAGCTCCGTCATTGCGTTCTTCCCCGTGTGTCACTCTTCGCGAATGAAAAGCGAAGTATATATCCCCTCGCGACGACGTCGTTTCTTCTACGAGTAACTCGTGTACGCGCGTCGGACGTCCGCTCGGTAATAAAAACCGCTCGATGCCGGTTTCGTGATGTCGAAGACGACGTACATCTTCCGGGGATTATACGTGTGGGAATTGGACGCGAGACGTTTGGACGCGATTTGGACTGGAAATCAGGAATACGATCACGCACGATCAGAAATCACTCGATCCCGGAAAGACAGACGACGATGATTCATCACTCATCGGGCGCGGGATTCATTGGGACCGTCGCAGTCGGTCGGAGGCGACGCGCAGGGAGTTTGACAGCTGACCGTCCGTCCGCCACGCGTGCTGTTCCGCACGTTAACGCACGCGCGACCGTTCCACACGGCACGCTGGCGCACTGAGAACTGACGCCTCGGCTGTCATCGGTCGGTCGAGCCACTGTCAGAGTCGGCCGCTCGGTCGACCGTCAGCAGGGGATGGTGGTGGTGACGGTGCTGGTGGCGGTGGTAGCGGTGGAGGAGCGCGGCCGCCTTCGAGACACGAAGCCAGCGCGCCACGCGGCACGCGGATACGCTATGGAGGGATCTCTCTGGGAGGGAGCCGCGGAGGGAATTACGGAGCACGCTGCATGTAGCTCGGAGCAGCGCGTTGCCGCTTTACTTGCACCGTAGCGGCGTGTCTGCCGCGGTGCGTAGGTGTTGTTGCCGCACTCCCGATGCTGCTCCCACTCGACCAGACTCCGTCGCGTCACAGCGAAACTCGACTCTTTGTCTGTCGAGTGCCCTCTGATCTCCGGCCGTCATTATTGAGCAAATTGTTATTGTCATGTGTAACGGTGCGACGTGCGATATCTTTTGATCGATTTCAACGATTCGTGAAACCTTCCGTGATTTTTTTCCCTATTCTTCTCAAGCTTCTTTCTACGATATCTCTTCTTGATCTTTCTTATCCGCCAAGTGTTCCTTAAGAGGTTTATTGCTTTGTCTACGAGTCGTAGATGATTCAAGAGAGCATGAAAATTATGATCGTTTTTCTTCTTTTTATGAATCTCTTTCGCTTTTTCGAATTTTCGATTGTTATAACTTATCATAAAAGAGTGCTTGATTATTCTTACAATAGCTTATGATTGTCGTATTAGTTTTTCTCATCTTCTTATTATAAGGCATAATAATAAGTCTTCGTTGAATTGCTTTTATTTTAATTTTTTATCGATTAAAATATTCATACGAAATTTCATACGAATTTTCATACGAAATATTATATATAATTACATGGAACATGTAATTATACAGAATGATTTACAATTAAAATTTTTCCATTGTTTCGTCATTTCTCTCGAGGGCATTTTGTGGTGCAATATGATTTATATATTATTGATTATGAAATAAAATTATCTAGATTTTATTTAATAGAAACATATAATCTGTTTAAAAAAATGCTCTTTTTTGAATATCTTTATAAACTTTAAAGTTTATATAAAATGAAATAAAAACTCACACTATTTTCTTATCACATATGATTATATAAGTATCGATATCACCTTGAAATTCAATAACGTCGATCAATGTTTCCGTTATCGGTCAGTCCAGCGACGTATCAAATCGCTTCGATTTCCTATTCAATAACCTTCACATTTTCGCACCTGCTTTTATTAAAATTGAGTCTCAATTCGAACTTAATTATAAACGATTTTTGAACAATATTCTATCGAATCGCGCGGTAGAAGATACCTCCCCTTTATTTAAGATACCTTCCCGGACACTTGTTGTAACTTTGGCTCGATCGACCGGATTCTTCCAACGGGAATGGTCTCGTCTCGAACGTCGCACAAACTATATGACGGCGTATCTCGAAGAGAAGGAGCGTGATTGCACGGTTGATGTATAATATGGACCAATAATATGGAACAAATGTAAAATTTTTTTTATCGAGTAAATTGTTTTTCACTAGCAAATCAGTCAGTCTTCTGCTCTTCAGAGTTTTCACTGAGCGATGATTCCGTCTCGACATATCCCGCTTGTCTGATGCGGGATACACGCATGTGCGTAAAAGGAATACGCAGACGCCACAGGACCCGCTCTTCGAAATGAGAGGAGAGGGTTGAACTGCGTACTGCGAGAACGGCAAAGGGAAAGGGCAATTCAGAATGAGAGATCAATATATGGCGAGTTCACGAGGTGATTAACCTCTTGCACTTGCCACCTATGAAGTATACTTACTTGCTATATCAAAATTTAATGGTAAATCGAAATTTCAAGTTGACTTTCTCCGAGCAAAAATCGTGAAAATCTGATTAGAAAGATGAAATAAAAAATGAAATGCTTATAAATTAAGTTTTGAATGTATATATCATTATAATGTATTTATGTATAATGTAAAAAAGGGTTTATACATATATTTTTCTTGAAATCTACGAATGTTTAAAAATGTATGGGTAAATGTAAAATTTATACAATTAGCAATTTATATTAGTAATTCACAAATTTTTATTATTTAATATTATAAATAAGAAAATACATGATTATATTGAACAAGCATAATTTTTATCAATTAAATATGTCTTTTTTAATAATATAAATATGCAATTTTATTAATATTTATAAATTAAAATTTTAATTGACGTAAGAGTAAGTATTTTTATAATTCGTGTTAAATACAACATGTACTTATATAAAAATTCAGCGAAATATATTTTAAAATTAATAGAAGTTTTAAAATCTATGATCAATGTGATATACAGATATGTTATTTACTATATGCGTGTTTGCTATTTACGTAGTATGGTTGAATCGTGCTCGAAATTATCGAATACGTAACCGAGTCATGCCTCATGATGTGAGGTGGATGACTGTCAATAGTCGGAATAACAAATGCGCGTATTAATACCGCATATTTTTACGTGATTATTCGAGATATTTAAATTACACATTTATGACGTACTGAATAAGCAGAATATGTGACAAGAATAATGACGTATATATATAATGACGTTATTCAATGGAAAAATATTGAATATGTGTCGATATATAATATAAATAAATAATCGAAAGATTGTAAATGTAAAAACATCAGTAAATTAATGATTATTAAATGCTTATTGTTTCATTCCAGTTTAGTAATAATTTCCGATAATTTCGCTCGCATAATAATGCCGACTCGCCGACTCTCGTAAAGTCACACGGTAGTGTTCTTGGTTGACTTGACATCCGAGATACTACCGTGTCTCCTGATATTCCCGTTTTAATATGCTTAAGTAACGTTTTTTTGAATCTGAATCTGAGGTGACACACTCTTGCTGGCTAACAATTTTCTGTAATTGTTCAGCATTCTACGAATAAATTTACTGCCTAATCATATGAGATGCAAATAGCGAGAATTCTTGATGATACATGGGAAAGATGTACGTGTGTATTATACATATTATTTCTTGTATCATTATGTGTTGGGAAATTCAGTATTATGAAATCTGGATGATTCTACCATATTTAATAACTTCTGATATAAAAATATCGTATATATTATATATAAGAAGAATATAATCAATCATTTCAAGATTAATTTATAATCATTATTTAAAATAGATTGTAAAGATATTCAGAAAGATTAATATGGAAATTTTTAATTTAGTTAATAATCTTATTTTAATGTTTAAATACTAATTTTCTTAATACAAATGTTTTAATATCTTATATTTAAAATTTATTATAATAATAATTATTATTTATATTTATAGAGATTAGAATAATGTTTATGTCATATGAAAAATAATTATGCTTTTAAATTGTGTATTTAAAATTTTTTCCGATTAACGTCATTATTCTGTCAAACGGTTTGTATTATTTAATAATTCCAAAGAGAGGATGTAGAATTAAGAGAAGCAACTTATATTATATGGAAAATTTTAAAATTAATAATTGATTGTATATCGATACAAGTAACAAGAAACCAATGACAAGTAGTAAGTGGGTTTGACAGTCTAGCACTTCGTTCAATTTCAAACACGATAAATATGGAGGACGCGGATGAAAGATAATTGCATCTCGTCTCGAAATCCGAAAAGCCGCGCGCGCTTAATCTCCAACTGCATACGCGCGTTTATCTACTGTCTTACGTAAGGTATTTGTGCCGTACAAAGAGTCACCTTTGCCGATCGCAAAACAAATTGTTAATCATCGAAATACGGCGTATCTCTCGTTGTTACGTAAATGGTTTACACACAGTCGACAAGGCAACCACATGTCGTACCTGTTCCTTTTGGCGAAGGAAGCGTTTTGCGAATTTCATTATGAATAATTTAATATAAATCATTGTTAATACGGATTTCATTAAAATCCATAGCTTCCTTTGAGCTTACGTCTTTGTTAACGATTTAATCTCGTTCTCGCAAATCCATGTTATATTTCAATTACGCTCTTAGATATAATTAACACGTAATCGAATATAATAACTAGAAATAACTAACGTGTAATTATCAGATTTATTTAATTGATCTATTACAAAGAAGAGGAAGAGAGATACATTAAAATTTGAAATTTTAATCGAATTAATTTTGAATGATATTAATCTTTTAATATTATTAGCTCTTGCATATAATAAATATAAAATTTTATATGAAATCTATGCTAATATTTTTAAATGTCAACTACGAATTTTTCAAAACCGTCTCAAAGAACTGTACTTTATTAATTATTATACTTTATTAACAATTTATTAATAATTATTTATTTAAATTCCGTGAAATATATTCTTATTATTAAAGAGTAATATATTCTTATCACTTTTTCTAATTTTGCAAAATATGGCATTTTTTATTTCAGATCAGATAAATATATTTTATTCGTTGTTTATTCGTCAACTCATAATTGACATTTTCAGCGGTAATGACGATTGCCTCGGAAAGTTTTGTCGTCTGACATAACTTAGCTGGCCTACCGTGTACCCGTTATTAAACACCACGTTTCGCAATTAGGCACCTTACCGAGTCGCGCATTTACTAGAGCGTTGAGCAATGCTTAACGAGTTCGATACACACGATCGAAAAGCGCAGATACCAGCTCGGATTCCTCAATCGCCCGGATACACAAGACCGAAATGTCTCGCGGATACTTATTTTGTTGCGTCATTTCGCAAAAATGCGGTTAGAATCGCCTCGAAAGAGATCGTGGCTTTGGTGCAGTTATATAAGATCTCTGCTGATTAATTTACAAAAAGGAGATTGGTTACTATTTATGGTATTAAAAAAAAGAATAATTTAATCTTTCGTTTTCTACTAAAAACGAAATGTATTAGCCTCATGCTTGCGATTAATAGAGCACAAGCAATGAAATTCAGTATATCAATGATATTAAACAAAATTCATTTATATATTTTACAATTTGTTTTATTACTTTGTATTTTTTTTTTTTTACTGTAAAATCCATTTGACAAGCAAATATGTTTTGTATACTGTAACTTCTTTTCTTGTTATTCTGTCAGTCCGTTGTAATACCATTATAATATTTTATGCAGGAAAATCCTGGTTAATGTGTCTAAAATTACATGCTACGTAACGTGTATTGTTATAATTAAACGTTTTACGTTAAATGATGTATTTCCGACTCTTGTTATCAGCAAAGCGAGACGCTTGAATAAGACGTGATCGCGACGCATTGGGACGTTTTGCACGCGCGGGGTTGTACGCGTGCAGACATAAGTCGATGGTGAGGAACGGCTGCGAAACGCAATTGCGTAAACGGGACTTAACCGCGCGAGAGAGCCGAGAGCGGGCGGTACGGACTCGCAAATCAGCGGGCGTCGCATAAAGCGACGACGCGGCACGACTAAAAATAAAGCGGGCTCTCGGTAAACAGTGAGCTGCTTTATGTAATGAATGAGCGTGAATCGCGTTCGTCGCACGATGCGGCGGGGAGCGGCGTAGCCGCTATAGCGTCGGCGATACGTCTGTCGCGAGCATCTGTATCTGGCCGCGCCGCAGTGAATGATCGTCTTTTGCAAGTAGCACGTTCAAGTACGGATGGATTTTCCTCTTACGCGACGATTGTGAGAAATATCTTGTAAAACCCCAACATTTTCATGTATCAGATATTTCATGTGATTTTCAACTGAATAACATTTATTTTTGAGCAAACAATTACTTTACTTTCATTTTTCAGATAGGAGATTTATACAACGGGTAAAATAATTTAAATTATAACAAATGATGAAAAGCATTATGAATATATGATAAGCATCT